AGAACGCCAAGGAATTTGCCATCTAATTTGTTACAAATTTGGGTATTGTTTATTTTTAGATTTATCTGATTAGAGGATTTATTGCCAAACAGAATATAAAACGTTTTGTCAATGTTAAGGGTGAGTTTGTTGGCAGTTAGCCAAAGATGGACTTTCTCTAGCTCAGTATTTACTGTGGCATTTAGAGCAAGGGGGTCAGGACTGGAGTAAATGAAGGTTGTGTCGTCAGCAAATAGAATTGGTTTGAGGTGTTGGGAGGCATTTGGAAGGTCATTAATGTAGATGAGAAAGAGGAGAGGGCCAAGTATGCTGCCCTGAGGAACACCAATGTTGATGGGTAGGGTGGGAGAAATTGTATTATTCACAGAAACATACTGGAGCCTGTCAGTAAGATAAGATTTGAGGTAATGCAGGGAGTGTCCTCTGACTCCATAATGATGTAATTTAAGAAGAAGGTTTTGATGGTTGACAGTGTCAAAAGCCTTACGCAGGTCCACAAATAACCCAACAGGAAACTCCTTTTTATCAAGAGCTGCGTGAATTAAGTTAATCATACTAATAAGTGCATCGTTAGTGCTTTTTTTGGGTCTGAAGCCATATTGACAAGAGCTAAGTATATTGTGTTTGGCTAGAAAAGAGTAAAGCTGCTTGTAGATTAGTTTTTCGAATATTTTTGACAAGTTAGGCAGGATTGATATAGGTCTGTAGTTGTTAACATCTGTGAGATCACCACATTTGTGGACAGGGGTTACTCTTGCTTTTTTTAGAATGTCAGGAAAGGTTTGGAGTTCAAGTGACTTGTTGAAGAGCAATGCAATAGCAGGGGCTAGAGATCTGGAGGCTTTTTTGTAAATTAAAGTTGGTATCTCCTCGAGGGCACTAGACTTGGTTTTAAGGGAAAGGATTATTTCATTGACATCAGTGGAACTAGTAGGCTTTAGGTACAGAGACTGTGGATAGTTACCTGTAAGATAGTCCTTAACATCAGTACAGGAAGATGGAATATCATTTGCAAGGGATGACCCAATGGAAGAGAAGAACCTATTGAACTCAATAGCAGAATCAGGGGCTGAAAGCTGACCAGCGTTATTGGAAAGGAGTGTTGGTTTGTTATTTAAAATCTTCTTTGATCCCAATATTTGTGAAATTGTGCTCCAAGTTTTTTTAATGTTGCTCTTTATTTGGGTAAATTTATCTTCTTAGTATTTAGTTTTGGCTCGTCTAATTATTTTAGATAGCAATAACGAGTAATTCTTTGAGAATTCTTTGGAAACTGTTCCTAGTCTATACTTCTTCTCAAGGTCGTGTTTTTTGTTAATGGATTTAAGTATTCCCTTTGTTAGCCAAGGATTGTTAAGTCTTTTGCTTGTGACTTGTTTTGTAAGCATAGGACAGTGGGTGTTATAAAGGCTAAGAGTTGTTTGAAGAAAAGATTGCACTGCTAGGTTGATGTCCCCTATGTTACCTAACTCGGACTCCCAGTTGACATTATCAGCAGCAGTTATAAAATTGTTTATAGCAGTTTCATTGTGCAGCCTAAAGCTTAACTCCCTTGTCTCTAGAGGTGGTTTGCTAATGTTAGTTAAGAGAAATGTGGGGTAATGGTCTGTAGTGCTATCGGTGATTATACCTGAAGTAAGCGGAGAGGTTATGTTGGTCCAGATGTGATCCAGAGTCGTAGCAGTACTATCAGTGATTCTAGTTGGTCTAGTGATTAAGGGTATGAGGAAGCAGGAATTCATACAGTTGAGGAAGCTAACAGCAGTAGGGTGTTCAGGCTCGCAGAGGTCAATATTAAAGTCCCCTGCGATAATTAGATGGTTTTTGTTCAATCTGTTATCTAGTATTAGATTTCTAAGGTTTGAGTTGAATTCAGACACATCAGTGTTAGGAATTCTATAGACTGCACCCACAGACAGGACAGACTCGGCACCCTTGACTCTGAAACTGGCGAAGATATACTCCCCACAGCAGTCTCTAGTTCTAATTATTTTTAAGCATGTTAGTTCTTGGTGGTAGTAAAGAGCAGTACCACCACCTCTCTGCATTTGACGACAGTTGTGAATTGCCGAGTAGTTAGGCATGTTAAAGAGTTGAGTATTGTCCTCTTTCAACCACGTTTCAGTAAGTATAATAAAAGAGAATTTGTTGTCAATAGTTTCAATCAAGGCACTAACATCATCGAAGTGTTTACCTAGGGATCTAACATTCAAGTTGATTACAGAGATATTGTGATTATCTGTTAATACATTGTTTACATCATGTGCTGTAAAATATCTGCAATTTTGATCATTGAAGTGATGAGTGTCATAGATAGTGGATAAGAGGTTTAGTTCTGGGTCTATACTTGTCTGCATAAAAAGGCTGTTTGCAGGAAAACAAGGCAAGAATGGCAAATTACAAAATAGAAAACAAAGAAAAAAGTAGATTAAAAATTCTAAAGTAAAATAAACTTAATGGTAATTTTAAGTAAAAATAAAAAAAAAAACTTAATGGGAACTAGGAATGTAAAAAATTAACTAGAATAATTAATAACAATAGATGACCAAAAAAAAAAAAAAAAAAAAAAAAAACAATTATGAAATCTATAAGATAATAAGCTTGCTTACTATACTATTATAAGTACACTATAATTGAATACTAAAGTTACACTAAAACAATCTGAGGTAGTTTAAATAGAGATACACTCAGGAACACTGGATAATGAAGTTAATACTAGAGGACACAGGCAAAGCCAGTGTACTATGGAACATGGGAGTAAAAAGAAAAAAAAAAAAAAAAAAGACAATAATAAAGATGACAATATTATTCTTTTTTTTTTTTTTTTTTTAAACTAAAGTTAAAACCTTTTGAAGGGAAAGGCAGAGCTAGAGTACACAAAGGTAGTTAAATGAGATTATAATTTGAATTCAGGCTATACAGCAGATATCCCACAGTCACTGAAGAAAGAATTAAGGTGAGCTTCTGTGGTTATTGAATAGGGTTTTCCAGTGTCAGTCCTCCTAGCTATAATTTTACCATCTCGCACAAAACAGTGTTTAATTGTAGGGGAATTTTTGCAGAAGCCACGCAGTTTAAAAAAGAGATTTTGCCTGCACCTGGTCAGACATTCATTCACATAAACAGAGGATTTACTAGCAACTGCAGATGAGATAAGATCAGTCTTGCGGGAGCAGCTATCTAATTTTAATCGAATTCGCCTATTATTAGTACCAGATGATTTGGTACCCACTCTATAAGCTGCTTATTTGATGTCATTTTTTTGGATCGAATAACTTAACTTATCCTGTTAATAAGATATACTTATTATATACTAATAATATTATATACTAATATGATATACTCCCCACAGCAGTCTCTAGTTCTAATTTCTTTTAAGCATGTTAGTTCTTGGTGGTAGTAAAGAGCAGTACCACCACCTCTCTGAAGTTGATGACAGTTGTGAATTGCCGAGTAGTTAGGCATGTTAAAGAGTTGAGTAGTATCCTCTTTCAACCATGTATGTATGTAACCAACTATGTACTAGAAATGCTCTACAAATCAAGGGGCCCAGAATGTGGAATGACCTTCCCAACCATGTTAAAGACTGTACCTCTCTCAACCAGTTTAAGATAAAAACTAAACACTACCTAATAAATTCCCTGTAACCTACCTCACTCCTCTATTGTCAACCCATGTCTGTTATTTTCTTTTTTTTAATCAACACTGTTTGTCAACCTATTGTATTTGTGCTGCTTTTTCAGTCATGTTCCCCCTTTTTTTTTTATCTTTGTTTTTGTTCTCAACACTTTTTATTCTTTATGCTCAATTAGTATTAAGTTCTAGATATTAATGTTTTTCTTGCCCGAAACGCATTGCGTAATAGTGGCTTTAGGCATTGTATGTACTAGCTCTATCTATATATCAATCCATTAATGTAACATCACTTGTATGTATATACCTTACCTGAATAAACATATTTATTTATTATTTATTATGTATGTATCTTACCTAAATAAACATTTGATTTGATTTGGTTGAGAGGCAGCCAGACAGCAATAATTTGTGATAAATGATGGGTTGAGAGGCAGCCAGAGAGCGATAATCTGTGACAAATGATGGGTTGAGAGGCAGCCAAAGAGCGATAATCTGTGATAAATGATGGGTTGAGAGGCAGCCAGAGAGCGATAATATGTGATAAATGATGGGTTGAGAGGCAGCCAGAGAGCGATAATCTGTGATAAATAATGGGTTGAGAGGCAGCCAGAGAGCGATAATCTGTGATAAATGATGGGTTGAGAGGCAGCCAGAGAGCGATAATCTGTGATAAATGATGGGTTGAGAGGCAGCCAGAGAGCGATAATCTGTGATAAATGATGAGTTGAGAGGCAGCCAGACAACAATAATTTGTGATAAATGATGGGTTGAGAGGCAGCCAGAGAGCGATAATCTGTGATAAATGATGGGTTGAGAGGCAGCCAGAGAGCGATAATCTGTGATAAATAATGGGTTGAGAGGCAGCCAGAGAGCGATAATCTGTGATAAATGATGGGTTGAGAGGCAGCCAGACAACAATAATTTGTGATAAATAAAGGGAAGAGAGGCAGCCAGAGAGCGATAATCTGTGATAAATGATGGGTTGAGAGGCAGCCAGAGAGCGATAATCTGTGATAAATGATGGGTTGAGAGGCAGCCAGAGAGCGATAATTTATGATAAATGATGGGTTGAGAGGCAGCCAGAGAGCGATAATCTGTGATAAATGATGGGTTGAGAGGCAGCCAGAGAGCGATAATTTATGATAAATGATGGGTTGAGAGGCAGCCAGAGAGCGATAATCTGTGATAAATGATGGGTTGAGAGGCAGCCAGAGAGCGATAATCTGTGATAAATGATGGGTTGAGAGGCAGCCAGAGAGCGATAATCTGTGATAAATGATGGGTTGAGAGGCAGCCAGAGAGCGATAATTTATGATAAATGACGGGTTGAGAGGCAGCCAGAGAGCGATAATTTATGATAAATGACGGGTTGAGAGGCGAGGGTGGAGGCCAGTGTGAGGCAGGCGGCGGCGGAGCGGTGGCTGCCTCACTCCCTCATGATGGCCGCTAAACACAGGAGGTCTGGCGAGGAGGACAGGCAGCCTAAGGCCAAGAAACATCCTCCTGCTGCTGGCCAGAGGGAGAACTCGGCCAGCAAGCCGGCCAGGCCGGGGCCAGACTCCCGGCCACCTTCTGCTGTAGTGGTCCTAGTGTGTGGTGAGTCCTGGCCTGGTGTGGTGGGAGTAGTGACCCGCTCATCTCCCACCTTCTCACTCATCTCTCTGGCTCTCCTTCATCTCCCAGCCTTATCCTCTCACTCATCTCTCTCTGGCTCTCCTTCATCTCCCAGCCTTATCCTCTCACTCATCTCTCTCAGGCTCTCCTTCATCTCCCAGCTTCATCCTCTCACTCATCTCTCTCTGGCTCTCCCTCATCTCCCAGCTTCATCCTCTCACTCATCTCTCTCTGGCTCTCCTTCATCTCCCAGCCTTATCCTCTCACTCATCTCTCTCAGGCTCTCCCTCATCTCCCAGCTTCATCCTCTCACTCATCTCTCTCAGGCTCTCCCTCATCTCCCAGCCTTATCCTCTCACATCTCTGAGCTTCTCCATCATCTCCAACACTCACTCATCTCCCAGCCTCATCACCCTCACACCGAGATGCTCATCTCTCATCATCATACCCAACTTGCTTTCTTATTATGAGAACTGTGTTAGGCGAGTCTTAGGCTTTGTGCTGTGTTAGGTTAGGTTAGGGTGTGTGGGTTAGGTTAGGTTAGGTTCGGTAAGGTTGGATGGGATAGGTTAGTAAGGTTAGGGTGGGTGGGGTTAGGTTAGTAAGGTAAGGTTGGATGGGATAGGTTAGTAAGGTTAGGGTGGGTGGGGTTAGGTTAGTAAGGTAAGGTTGGATGGGATAGGTTAGTAAGGTTAGGGTGGGTGGGGTTAGGTTAGTAAGGTAAGGTTGGATGGGATAGGTTAGTAAGGTTAGGGTGGGTGGGGTTAGGTTAGTAAGGTAAGGTTGGATGGGATAGGTTAGTAAGGTTAGGGTGGGTGGGGTTAGGTTAGTAAGGTAAGGTTGGATGGGATAGGTTAGTAAAGTTAGGGTGGGTGGGGTTAGGTTAGTAAGGTAAGGTTGGATGGGATAGGTTAGTAAGGTTAGGGTGGGTGGGGTTAGGTTAGTAAGGTAAGGTTGGATGGGATAGGTTAGTAAGGTTAGGGTGGGTGGGGTTAGGTTAGTAAGGTAAGGTTGGATGGGATAGGTTAGTAAGGTTAGGGTGGGTGGGGTTAGGTTAGTAAGGTAAGGTTGGATGGGATAGGTTAGTAAGGTTAGGGTGGGTGGGGTTAGGTTAGTAAGGTAAGGTTGGATGGGATAGGTTAGTAAGGTTAGGGTGGGTGGGGTTAGGTTAGTAAGGTAAGGTTACATAGGTTTTAAAAGCTGTTGGTGAATTGTCTTGTCTATGATGTGACAGTAGCTTCTTACTGTCACTAGTATGATGGCGTAGGTCAGCTGTCGTGTGTGGCCGCCCCCTTACACTGTCATGTGTGGCCGCCCCCTTACACTGTCGTGTGTGGCCGCCCCCTTACACTGTCGTGTGTGGCCGCCCCCTTACACTGTCGTGTGTGGCCGCCCCCTTACACTGTCGTGTGTGGCCGCCCCTTACACTGTCCTGTGTGTGACTGCCCCCTTACACTGTCGTGTGTGGCCGCCCCCTTACACTGTCGTGTGTGGCCGCCCCCTTACACTGTCGTGTGTGGCCGCCCCTTACACTGTCCTGTGTGTGACTGCCCCCTTACACTGTCGTGTGTGGCCGCCCCCTTACACTGTCGTGTGTGGCCGCCCCCTTACACTGTCGTGTGTGGCCGCCCCCTTACACTGTCGTGTGTGGCCGCCCCCTTACACTGTCGTGTGTGGCCGCCCCTTTACACTGTCGTGTGTGACTGCCCCCTTACTCTGTCATGTGTGGCCGCCCCCATACACTGTCGTGTGTGGCCGCCCCCTTACACTGTCCTGTGTGTGACTGCCCCCTTACACTGTCGTGTGTGGCCGACCCCTTACACTGTCGTGTGTGGCCGCCCCCTTACACTGTCGTGTGTGGCCGCCCCCTTACACTGTCCTGTGTGTGACTGCCCCTATAGTGTCGTGTGTGTCATGTGTCATCTTGATAAAGCCAGTCTAACCTAACCCTACTTTACAATCCAACCTAATTTTACCTTAACTAACCGAGCCTAACCTAGAAATTTATACAATGTCAATAACTAGAAAATGAGCTTCGTTGAATCATCTGTATATGATTTGGCCATACCCCTAGACAGTGGGGGCCTGGTGACTGAGTGGACAGCACTTGGGATTCGTAGTCCTAAGGTTCCGGGTTCGATCCCCGGCGGAAACAAATGGGCAGAGTTTCTTTTTACCCTGATGCCCCTGTTCACCTAGCAGTAAATAGGTACCTGGGAGTTAGACAGCTGCTACGGGCTGCTTCTTGGGGATGTAATTACCTAAGTGTAGTTACAGGATGAGAGCTACGCTCGTGGTGTCCCGTCTTCCCAGCACTCTTTGTCATATAACGCTTTGAAATTACTGACAGTTTTGGCCTCCACCACCTTCTCACCTAACTTGTTCCAACCGTCTACCACTCTGTTTACAAAAGTGAATTTTCATATATTTCTCCGGCAGCTTTGTTTCGTTAGTTTAAATCTATGACCTCTTGTTCTTGAAGTTCCGGGTCTCAGGAATTCTTCCCTATCAATTTTATCGATTCCTGTTACTATTTTGAATGTAGTGATCATATTGCCTCTTTTTCTTCTATCTTCTAGTTTTGGCATATTTAACACTTTCGCGCTTTAGATTAGAGATAACTCGTTGCCGTTTTCTCTTACGATTCCGCATTACAGCCGAGTTTTCTCGTCCATCGAAAAAATATTTCTATAAATTCCATTTTTTAACCGAAATGGATGGGGATACTTTTGTTTTGTAGGGAATTTATTTGCGAATGTTTTGGTACCAGAATGAATATTATATCACATAAACTTCTATGAGTAAAAAAAAAATACACAGTATGTTTGGGGGTGTGGCGAGCGTGTGGCAGTGGGTTCCCTTTAGCCGTTGATATATCCAACACGTGGGAAATATTTGTATGTGTTATGTATATGTCTGTGTTGGGAATTTTACTGCGATCACTGTCATACAAATTATAAAATGTTTCAACAAGTATAAACATGACAAACATCAAACGAACGAAAACAATGCGTTCGTTTCTGCCGCGAACGCATACTGAGCGACGTGGTTCTATATTTGGCGCTTCTCTTACACATGCTTTGTACAAATGTTATACAGTTCATCTTATAGAAAATTTTATTGCGAACACATTGGTATAAAAAAGAAATACGTACATAGAAAAGTAGGGTCAGGAAACGTATAAACTTTCCAAGCATGATTTCCCCCCTGTGTTTTCGCCAGTGCGCTCGCGGCTAACTACTCTCCACTTCACACACTCTTGCGGGTGGGCAATTACCTATATTAAACATTCATATGCATATGTCCGTGTAGAGAATTTTATTGCGATTCCAATGATACCAAAATTAGCGATGTAGGACAACTGTAGGCTTCGCAACCATTAAGAGAGTGGAAACATTTTGTTGCTGTTTGGCGCTCTCGGCGAGTGATCTGCATAGTTTTTTATTTGGTGTTGATACTCCTTATGCTTGGGCGGCATTTTATAGGTATGCTCTTGTAGACAATTTCATTGCGAACACAGTGATACCAAATTTAAATACGTGCGCCTTCAATTATTGTCAGGACAGTCAAAAGAGTGTACACTTTTCGGTCTTACCGCATAGGCGCGCGAAGTGCCGAAAGCATCTGGGGTATTGTTTTTTTTTTAGCGCTGAGAGCGCGAAAGTGTCAGGTTTGAGATTGAGTTTACACATGTTCCAACTTCGTTAAAAAAAATCAGCCCCATCTGGTGGCCAGCTCTGTGAACCTTCACTTATGGGAACTAGATGAACATTTCCAAATGCAGTAGTAATTTTTGTGGATTAACTGAATATACATATAAGACACTTCTTTTACAAGGATATTTTGTAGAAAAATAAATTTGAATATGTTTCATCATATATTGAAAGTGATTTTCATGTGGTTTTAAAATGGAAAACATGATTTTGTGCATGTAAATACAGTACAATACATATTTGGGTGTTAGTAGACCAAAAATGTGTGTTCAGTCTGCCAGAAAATACTTTAGTAATAAGTGTTCTGATACTATGTCATCTATTGTGTTATTTATTAATAGTTGCATTGTTATCTTATCAAAATTAGTGAAGTGCATTAATTAAAATGTACAAAATTTGACATGACTTTCAGCAATTTGCTGTGGGGTTGTGCACAGTGTCCACGTAGCCACCATGTTCGAGAACGACAGACACTTCTCACACCTCTCCAACCTGGAACGGGAAATGACCTTCAGAACAGAAATGGTAATATTCTATACCCATTATATTATTAGGTAGAAATGTTCTACCTAATAATGTTCTTCTAGGAAATGTTCAGATTAATACCAATTTAAGTATTTTACTGCAGTTTAGAAGAATTTTGTATGTACTTTGAGATAGTAGTGGTATGATACGCATTGTTATTATATCCTTATATTTGCAGTGTGCCGCATAGATGATAATCATCTGTTACTGCATGATGAGAAAAGGTGTGTGAATTATTGATGCCCACATAGTTCTTAACTCACAACATGGTTGGTGTGCTGCCTTTTCAGGGTTATGCCTTTATAATCCTACATTAGTAGCCTTTAGTGTCCAAACCTTAATAGTACCCTGGGGTACTGGTTCAGCACAAAAAATTACACTATATAGTTGTTTATGTAATTTCACAGATTTATATTGATATTCTACTATCTTGTGCTACAATCTCTTCCCAACTTGGTGCCTTCTTTTGATAATTACGGTACTGTACTTACTCCACCATCTTGTGAGTCTGTATTAACTCTTACATGACTCCAGTTGCTATCTGCATTTACCTCTCTTGCTCAAATTAAATTGTTTGATATTTTGTGAATTATTTTTTATGATGCACACTATAATGTAGGACTTTTGTTAGCCGAGCCATTTAAGGGTTAATTTGTCAGCGTGATGCATGCGGGTGAGGGGAATATTTAATTTTCTTTTGATTATTGCATGATTTATTTTAGTTACTTGCGACCAACCCCTCATCTGACTCAGATACTGTTCTCATGATAGGCTCAAGCACAAGATAGAGACACAAGCTGGGACAACTAAAAATGACGGATGCTGTTCCAGACCATCAAAAATTGTCATAAGTCAAATTTTTGGGGAAAATAATGTACTGTTTTACAGTGAATGATGGAGTTACTCTGCTTTTCTGACTATGCTTTCTGGGGGGAGCCCCGTCGGCTCCCCGGAGCTATCCCAGGCTGATATGCTAATGTCAGACTTTGGCATCAGTCATGTGTATGGAGTTCTTAGGCCTACCGGGGACCACGGCCAGAACCAGGCCCCCTCAGAGAGGCAAGGGGAGCAATGGCCTATAGAAGCCCCCGTGTAGTTGGAAGCATTCTATGTCTGCCATCGACCGGAACAGGCACCCAGAAAGGTAAGCGCCCCAAAACAAACCCCTATTCTGGTTAAAATTGCTACCTAATACCGAACTAGTGGATAGAACTCCCCAACCGAAAACAAGCAAATTAGTGTGACGTCACACACTGCCGCGCCGCTGTCTGCGCAGCTCCCCCCTCCCCGGGAGGGGGAAGGGGGAGCCCCAGACCCCCCGCGCCGGCTACCCACACCTCAGTTCTTGAGGCTGATGCTATAGGCGATGGTCGTGTGCTCTGGCTCCGGTGTCGCTACTGCACTGTGCTTTGAGTGTGGTGTTAGTTTTGTGGGTGCGAGAGCCAGGAGTTATCTTCAGTACTCGGGCTGCATGCGCCTAGGGCTGCCTTCCCTAGGTGCCCTGTAAGTACTGCCCTTGGGGCTTGGGGCCACCTTCCACAGGCTCCTCGGGGTCTGCCTCTGCTGGTCCGTTTTACCTTTCGGTTTTTCGGCCGCCTGTTGGGCTCTTGGGTGTTCTGTTCTCCCTTGTTACCGGCAGGTAAGAGGCAGTTTGCACTGGTAGGGGCGCAGGGTGCTGCTCAGCTTGTAATTCCCGACATCGCGGCCGGCTCTGTTCCTTGGGGTTCGCTGTCCTTTTGCGGGGTTTTGTTTTTCTTTTTGTTTTTGCCTGGTGGGGGGTTCTGTCATTTTATTCAGTTTGTTTTTGCCCTTCCACTGTTCTCCTCGGTGGCGCCCCCTGCTAGGTCCCCGTGAGTGTACACGTCCCTGGGTTCAGCTTTAGAAGTTTGCTTGGTAGTTTTGGGCGCCGGTTTGCAGCACCCTGCCTGGGACTACCTGAGCGCGAGTCCTCTTAAAGTAAACGCTCAGGACCCTGGGAATTCCCTAGGGGGCGCGTGGGTCCGATGGATGTGACCCCGGAGTCCCCACTCGCTGTGTGCGAGTTTGAGGGTTGCTCGGTCCCCTTGTCTCAGGGTGACCCTCATTGTTTTTGCCTCTGCCACCCTGCCTGTTGGGTTGGTGATACTTTCGACCCTGAGTCCTGTGAGTGTTGCTGCTTGCTTGTGACTCAATTTACCCAATCCTCTGATGATTCTATTCGGGTACAGGCGGCACGTGCGTTGCAGTCTAGGTTTCGTCTGTTGCAACGCGCTCGGTTGGTTGCTTCCCCGGATGCCCCGGGGCTGCCCCGCTTTGCTTTTCGAGACCCGGACTTGGGGGTGGGGTCGCTTCGATCCTGGTTCAGTCCGCACCTCCTCGTCCTTCCCCTTCTGTTCGTTCTGGTCCCCCGCCCCTGCTTCCGGCCCCGAAGCGTCTGAGGGTTTCGGGGTCGGAGCAGGGGTTACTTGATCTCGAGACTCGGGCAGCTTCGGGGTTGCCCCTTCCGGGGGGGCGGCAGAGGCATTCGAGTCTTGTCTCCCGGCCGAAGCTTCAGGGTCTGACCAGTGGGCCCCCCTTCCTCCAGCTTTTCCGGCTGCACCGGCTTTTTCTTGAGGCCGGTGCGTTGGGAGATGACTCGGCCCTGGGTCCCATGGAAGTGGATCTTGGCGCTAGGAAGGGGCTGACTTGGGGTCCTTGGGCCCCGCTGGACCCCCGCCTGGGTTTTTCTACCCTTTGAGCGGGTCTTGCTGTTACAAAGAGTGGAGTTTTCTTATCCTCCCCTCTGCGTACGAGTTGGATTTAGTGTCTGCCCCTCCCCAGATTCGGTTCCGTGTCAACCCCTACCCCCCCCCCCTCCCCATTCCTCCTCCTGGTGCGTCGGTTCCGTCCTTCTGGAGGTTTTCGGCTTACCATATCCTACCTGGTGTGGTGCGGGTGGCCCCTTGCAGCATACTTCCTGTGCGACCCGGATTATGCCTCGCTTATGGATTTGTCTTCATTCAGGTTTGGGTTTTCGTTCCCTTTCTGGGTCCGTTATGAGGTTCCAGAGTCGTCCTGGCTGGCGGACTGTCCTGTGTTTGACTTGGAGGCTTGGCATTCCTTCTGTCGTACCCGCTCGCTTGAGTGGTGCCAGGCTTCGATGGTGGTTCAGGTTTACCTGGGGGGCGATCTTGAGCACCTCGATGAGTGTTTGTTTGCCCCGGCCCTTTCCCAGGATGTTGGCGTTCTGCAGCTCCATGTGTAGGTTCTGTCCCTTTCGGCGACGTAGGTTGCTGAGGACTTGCGCGCCCGTTGCCTTTTGGCTTCGGCTTTGTGTTTCATTTCTCTCCTGGAGCTGTCTTTGGACAGCTCCATGACCCCAGGGGGGGGGGTTGAAGCTTTCCAGGGGAGGCTTCCCATCCCGTCTCGGGGGGGGGGGTCGTGCCAGAGATCGGGGTTCCACACGTCGTGGTAGGCCACTGGTGCCAGGTTCAGGTCCAGTCCCGCCTTCGGTCCCGCCTTTGTCTGGTCGGCGCAGTGTTTGTTCTGTGCGAGGTTCTGGGTCTCGTAAGGGGCTCCGGCCCTTTCGCGGTTCGCCTCATTGGCTGGGTGATAGGGGGGGAGAAGGCTGGCGCTGTTCGCTCATGCCTGGTCCCACAATTTGTGGGCGTTTTGAGTCATTTCCTTCGGCCTGCGGTGGCGTTGGGTAGCCCCTCCTCGTTCAAGGGGTTCGGGGTTGGCGGGGCAGGCCTCTTTTCCCCCTGCACTCAGTCTGGCTGTCTTGGAGTAGGTGCGCTTTGGTATGGTCGAAATGACGACATCCCTCAGATGGGTTTCCCGTCTGTTCCCAGTACCAAAATGGGACTGTGCGGACCTGCAGTTCATTCTGGACTTGTCCCATCTGAACCCTTGGGTTCATTGCCCCTCCTTTCGGATGACTACGCTGTCCCAGGTTCGGCTCTTGGATGGTGTCCCTGGACCTTCGGGACGCTTATTGGCACGTCCCGATTCACCCGGGTTTCAGGGACTGCTTCGGTTTTGTTGTGGGAGTGTCAGGGTTACTGCTTTTGTTGTCTCCCGTTCGGATTGAACCTGGCACCTCGCGTGTTCACACGTCTTACCTGGGGTCGTGGAGGCCCGTCTGCATCTCTTAGGTGTTCGGGTGTTGGCCTACCTCGACGACTGGCTAGTTTAGGCTCCCAGCCGATCATCTTGTCTGCTAGCCAGGGATTTGGTTCTTTCTCATCTTGCCGGGTTCGGGTTCTTGGTGAATTGGAGGAAGTCCCATTTGGTACCCTCCCAGGTTTGGACATGGCTGGGTCTTGTGTGGTACTCTCAGACCGCTTCCTTGTCTCTTCCTCCGGAGTCTCTTCTGCGGCTGCGGTCCCGCGTGCGCCTGCTTCTGGGAACTTCCGGGTCACCCATCAGGTGCTCGAGGGTCTGTGTGGGAGGTTACCTTGAGGTGCTTCATCCGAAAGGAGAGGCAATGAACCCAAGGGTTCAGATGGGACAAGTCCAGAATGAACCGCAGGTCCGCACAGTCCTGTTTTGGTGCTGGTTACCTTGAGCTTGAACTTCGTGATGGTCTTCCTGCCGGGTCGGGTTTGGCTTCATCGGCTGTTCTGGTTCCTTCGGGGACGTCCCTTCCGCCCCTCTCTTGATCGCTGGGTTCGACCCCCGGTGGCCTTGCGTCGGCTGCTGTGTCGCCAGCTTCCTCTTCGGGTTTTTTGGGGTTCAGTGCCTACGTGCCTACCTGAGCCTTCGCTTGATGTATTCACGGACGCGTCATCTCTGGGCTGAGGCTTTGTGACCAGTGCTCACCAGGCCGGCCAGGAGCAGTGGGGTCCATTCTTCTGTCGGGTACACAGCACGGTGAGGGAGTTCGCAGCGATGTAGTTTTCTCTTTGGAAGGTTCGGGTCGCCCGCTGATCGATGATCTGCTTCCATTTGGACTGCTCCCTGGTGGTTCATTGTCTGAACCACCAGAGGGTTCAGTGCGGTCCTTGGCTGTTTGGTGCGGCTCGCTTTGGGCGACTCGTCTGCCGAGTTCTCTTGGGTTGGCCCTCCTGGTGGTTTACATTCAAGGGTGTCCAATGTTCTGGCGGATGGCCTGTCTTGGTTCGTTCCCCTGTCCACAGAATGGATGGTCGACGTCGACTCCTTCAGTTGGTTCTGCCAGACGTTCGAGCGCCCCGAGGTGGATCTCTTCGCGGTAGCGTGGTCGCGGTGCCTTCCTCTATATGTGGCGCCCTTTCCCGACTGAGAGACTGTCAGGGTCGATGCCTTTCAGCCGGACTGGTCGAGGTAGGGGTTCATGTACCTCTTTCCTCCGGTTCAGCTGTTGCTCCAGGTCCTGACTCGCTTGGAGACTTTCCAGGGGAGAGTAGTCCTCTTGGCACAGTGGTGGTCGGCCCTGCTGTTGTTTCAGGCGCTGCTTGCTCGGTGTCCGAACCCGAAGGTTTTCCCGCGGCTCCGCCTCTTCCAGCAGATCAGACCGGTGCGCCATGTGGCAGGTTCGATCTTCTCCTCGATCGTCTTTGCGTATGGTATTTTTGACTCAAGTTTATCATCATCTCTATATTGATCAGGTGGCTTCCTTGTTAGTGTCCCACCTGCAGGCTTCGTCTCGGTGGCAGTATGAAGTTTCCTGGCGGTCCTTCCGTTTCTTTCTGACTCTTCGTCATTGTGCTTCGCTTTCGGTTCGGGTGGTGCTGTCCTTTCTCTTTTGGTTGTTCCAGGAACGTCATCTTATGCCGAATACTGTCGCCTCGTATCGTGTGGTGCTGGCGGTGCCGCTTCAGCTTGCTTTCGGTATTGATGTTACTTCTGTGCCGTTTCGCAAGCTGTCTCCTGCGTTGTTTCACCTCTGGCCTGCTCATGTGCTGCCTGAGCCGTCCTGGTCTTTGGACAGAGTGCTTTTCTTTCTCTCTTCTCCTCGGTTTGTTGTGGCCCCTTCGGTTCAGGATTGTTTCCTGAAGGCTCTTTTTTCGTGGCGCTTGGCTTGTTCGTCTGCAGCCGGGTTGGGTCTGGGGAGCTTCATGGTTGCATTCTGGAGGGCAGGGGGTTTCTGATGCTTTTGGTCAGGCCAAGTGTGCATAGGTTTGTTCGGTTGTGCAGCCGTTATCTCCTTCTTTTCTGTGTCCGGGAATGAGTTTACAGTTTCCCTCCTTGCTTTCGCGGGAGGGGGTCTCCCAGGTTGTTGATGCAGTGCTCTAAACTCGTTGGTCAGGCCGGGGTTCGATGCATCGATGTATTGTGTCAAATGGGTTGAGTTTCCTCCACCCGATTATTTACCTAGCACCATAGGCTGGGAGTTAGTCAGCTGCTACGGGCTGCTTTTGGGGGTTGAACCGGAGGCCCTTCTTCCCTGTTCCGCGGGGACGGGAAATCATCTCAAGGTAACGTCTCAACAAGGTTATTAAGGCTAGTCAGCCTGCAGTCTATCCCAGTGCCCATGACGTTCGTAAGTTCGCTGCTCTTGCTGCCATCTTTGGCAACATGTCCTGGGCTGACATTCGGGCGCGGGGTTTTTGGCGGTCGAACAGGGTCCTGGCTGTGCGCTACCTCGTGAACGTTCCTGGGCCTAGTCAGGACCTGTGTCGCTTTGGGTTGGCGGTTGCAGCCAGTTGTCTCGACTTCGGGTTGAGGAGTGAGCAGCAACTGCCTCCCGGGTAAGTCCCTCTACTTTTCCTCTGTGGGTAGTTAGCTCCGAAGGAGCTCCCCCCCCCCCCCCCAGAAAACCAGCATTGAATGTAATGAAATGCCATTTTCTGGGTGAGACCCGGAGGCTCCCCGGCATCCCTCCCTCCCCTGGTAGGTGGTTTTTCAAGTGTTTTGATGTCCAGCCTCAGAACTGAAGGGTGGATGGCCGACACAGGGGTCTGGGGCTTGCCCTTTCCCCTCCCGGGGAGGGGGAGCTGCACAGACAGCGGCACGGCATCGTGTGACATCATGCTCGTTTGCTTGTTTCTTTTTGGAGAGTTCTATCCACTAGTTCGGCTTTTTGTAGCAATTTTCACCAGAATAGGGGTTTGTTTTGGGACGCTTACCTTTCTGGGTGCCTGACCCGGTCGATGGCAGACATAGAATGCTTCCAACCACACGGGGGTTTCTATAGGATATTGCTCCTTGTGCCTCTCTGAGGGGGCCAGGTTCTGGCTCGTGGTCTCCTGGTAGGCCCACAGAACTCCATACACATGACTGATGCCAAAGTCTGACATTAGCATATCAGCCTGGATAGCTCTGGGAAACCTCCGGGTCTCACCCAGAAAATGGCATTTCATTACATTCAACGCTGATTTTTTTTATATGTCATCATTGCTGCCTGCCGCTTGTCCGTATAGCCCTCCCCTTCCCGGGAGGGGGAGGGGAGACCCCTGGACCCACTGTGCTGGCTACTCAACCCCTGCTTGTTGGCAAATGCGATCTGGGGCAGTCGTCAACTCTGGCCTCGATTTCTTGGCAGTGTTTTACCTTAGTGGTGATTCCTGCTGTGTTGTGGTGGTGGTGGCCAGGTATACCATCAGTGTACTGGAGCGGCATGCTCTTAGGGCTGACATCCCTAACCGCCTTGTAAGTACTACCCCTGGGTGCTAGAGGTTCCCTTCCATAGTGCCTTCGGAACTCCCCTTCTATAAGAGTTCTTGCTGCTCGGCATTTACCCCACGCTTGGGGCTAGCTGGGGTTTCATGGCCTTTGTTTGGCCTTGGGAAGGAAGTGGTATTGTTGTTAGTTGGGTGTCAAGGTGTTGCACAGCTTGCCCACTCTAAATGCCCTGGGCCAATAGGCCCTCTGCAGTTACCTTATTATTTTCTTACCTATGGAGCAGCCGGTTCTTGTTTCCTCTGGGGATGTTGTAGTTTTGCAGGGTTTTTCTTTTATTTTGTTTTCTTTACCTGGTGGGGGGGGGTTTCTGCCTTGTGGTCCACTTATAATATTTTGGTGCCCCTCTGCTAGGCCCCCCGTGACTGTACGCATCACAGGGGTTTCAGTGTTTTAGCCTATCCCCCCTTTGTTAGCTCTTTGGTTAACCGGTTTTGCAACACCTTGCCCGGGCTTCCTGTAGCAGTCAGCCTACGGGCCCTGGAAAACCCTGTCGGGACTCAGTGGACTGATGGATGCGTCTTCCGGGTTCCAGCTCGTATTGTGTGAGATTGTAGGCTGCTCTGTGCCCTTGTCTCAGGGTGATGGTCACCAATTTTGCCCCCATCATGTGGCCTGTTGAGTCAATGACACCTTTGACCCGGAGTCTTGCGAGATGTGTTCTCTGCTCGTGCTCCAATTTACCCATTCTGTAGACATTGAGGTTCGGTTATCAGAGGCATCCGCGTTGCATGCTCGGTTTATGTTGCTGCAAAGCACTAGGTTGGTTGCCCACCTGGATGCCCTGAGGCTGCTCTGTTTTGGTTAGGCGTTGTTAACCCCCTGCTCCTGGCTCTGAAACGTCTGTGGGTTTCGGAGTCGGCGGGATTTAGTTGGTGATGAAACTCGGGTGGCTTCAGGGATGCCTCCATCCCCTCAACCCCATTCGGGTTGGGGGATGGAGGCATTCAAGCCTGCTCCTCCTGCCGAGGCTTCTGGGTCCTACCAGCAGACGTCCTCTTTGCTACCTTTTCCCTAGACTCTGCCTTTTCTTCAGGGGTAGAGGTTGTGGAGGACAACTCTGCCTCGGGGTCCCAGGTTCGGACCTTGTCTCTCCCTCCAGAGGCGTTGCTGTGGCTCAGGTCCCCAGCTGTTTCTGGTGGGGGAAGGGGAGGTAACCGAGTCAATTAACACTTGCTCGAGCAGTTGTGTGGGAGTCTGAACTTCGCCATGCTAGTTTACCCACCAGGTCGGGTTTGGCTTAAGCGTC